CCCACCTTTCCCCACCACTAGTTGTGACTCTGGCAATGTGAGGTGGCAGTGTCTACAGCCTTACCCGGCCGCCTGTGCATTTTTATGCCTTCAATACTTACATCTGTTTTGGGGACATATGAGAATATTTCTCTTTTAAATTAGTTTTCTAATCCAGGGCCACATGGTGGGCACAAAGCGTAAATGTACAGGGGCTCAAATGGGAAATGGTAGAAGCAGAGGAAACCACAGACCCTGAAGGAAAGCAGCCCTTGCCTTCCCTCCATCTGCACCTGCCCTGGAGCTGCACCTGTTTCATGAGTGTTGAGTGTCCCCTTCAGCCCAGACTCCTTTCTTCTTTTTGCAGGAAATTTTGTGTCTGGATTCACACTGATGTTTCCTCATTTGGGACCTTACGTACAGCCATACATGGCCATGTCCTCAGCTCTCAGACTGTTCATTTGCAGATACAGCGAGTTCTTAGCATTGTTTTGGAGATCGAGAATTTGCCCTTCACAAAGTCTGCATGGTATATCTGACTTCCATCATATTTTATATCTATTACTTACTCCAGCCCCTTCCCTGGAGACTGGTGAACTCAGCTAACTCAGAAGCTACTGCAGGTGAATCTGGAGGCTATACAGGAGAGTCTCAGGAACTTCCCAGGTTGTCTCAGGTTCTTTATGGACTCAATCAGCTGCACTTCACACTGAACACCTGCAAATGCATGGACATCTCGGTCAGAAACTGCCAAACATATCCACTGTTTTTCTCGCTCATATCCACTCACTCTCACTCACTCTATTTCTCTATGAGTCACCTTTTAAAATAGCAACAAGAAGAATTCAGCTTAGTTCAAACCCCATAGTAGGTCCTCTGTGTTCAGTCCTGATTACCAAATGGAAAATCTTGGGAATCCCATGGTTGTGGCTCTTCTCCCAGAGCTGGAGAGCCAGGTCTGGGCTTGTTTTCACCAGGAGAGGGAGGGCCCTGTTTTCATGCCTCCTCCTGTATAGTAAGCTCCAGCGTGGGACGCTTGAGAAGAAGGCAGTGCCCAGAGCAGATGGCAGACTCCAGGAAGAGTTTAGTGGCAATGGTAGCATTTGGAAATATATTACTTATAATGTGACTGTGCCATAAAACTCACTTAACAATTATGATTTTATTTTTTACACATGTGTACAGATACAAATATAACTACATTAAGGAAACTGTAAGAGATGTAAAGAGAGAAATAAAAAACAACATAAAAATAAGAGAAGACCTTAATACCTCATGAACAATGTATAGCAAATCCAGAAAGAAAATTCTTAATATGCCTCTGAGTTTGAACAACACTATTGAACAATTTTACCTGAAAGACATTTACAGAACCTTCCGACCAAGAGCCATGTAATACACATCCTTCTCAAGCACACATTGAACATTCTCTGTGATACGTTATATGTTACATCATAAAATGAGTCTTAACATTTAAAGAAGGAATGCCAGCCCTTCTCTATTCAAAAATTGGTGAGGAGTCACCCTTCCAAACTCTTTTTTTATATATAGTAAAGAAATGTTTCTGTTTCTCAGAGATAACCTGCAGTCGCAGATTTGCATACAATACAATTATGTGTTGGCTATTTACAATTTACAGTAGTGATTTTTCCTCTGAAAAATATAAGTACAAAAGCTAAGTAAACAATGAGGTACTGCCATTTGCTATTTATTATGTGTCATGGCTTAAAGAACTGGCCTTTAGCAAATATTCAATAAATCAACCTGAATAAAATAGTCAATTAAATGATTTATTCTTTCTAATTTATTAGAAAAAAGTCCACTAAGTTTCACCTCAAAATGTGTTGCACAAGTCTAAAAATAAACCTAAAAATAAATAGGAAAGTTAAGCAGTTCTTCAAAAAGAATGGAAGAAAGGAATATAATGTAAGCCCATAAACCATGTTAAGTCATTCTAAATATCTTTTAAGCAACATAAAATTCTTCCCAAGAGAAAACTGAGGAAAAAACTATCACCATCTCTCCACTGATAAAATGTATTTTAAAGGCAGTCTGCAATATACCTTCTAAACTCTTTCTATGAGGATACCATTATAGTTTTACCAGTAACAGACAAAGGCATCACAATAAAAGAAAACTACAGACCAATATCATTAGTAGACATAACTTAATCCCCAACGATAGTAAACTAAATTCTAAAGTCTTTTAAAAGACCATACACCATGAGCAACTCAAATTCACTCCTGAGATGCACAGTTGATTCAACATCCTCAAATCAATCAATTTGGTATACCACATTAAAAAATTAAGGAAAAAATATCTCAGTAACATATCATCAGACACAGGAAAAAAAATGAAAAAAATCAGGGTTTCATTATAAAAACTCTGTACAAAGTAGGAAGACAAGAAAACAACATTTACACAATAAAAACCATTAAGAAAAGTCATGGCTATTATTGTACTCAATAGTAAAAAGTTAGATATTTTGGTCTAATATCTGTAACAAGGCAAGAATAAAGCTTGAGCGTTTCACTTCTAGGCCTCAATATTTATTACAAACATAGAAAGGTATTGGCATAAATGCATATAGAGAGCTTAGATATAAACCAATATATTGATGATGAACTGATTTTCAGCATGAGAACCATCAATATAAAATGGCTAAATTATAGTGTCTTCCAAAGAGGGTGTTATGAAAACTGGATTTTCACACAAAAAGAATTAAGAATTTTAGGTTAGAATAAACACAAAAATTCACTCTAAATGCTTTAAATATTTAAATGTAATACCTGCAATTGTAAAACTCCCAACCCTTAAAAATTAGCAATCTTTTTCTGGATTTTACATTCGAAGCACCTACAAAATAAAGCAGAATTGAACAAGTGGGAATAGATTATAAAAAAGACGCTGCAAAGCAACAAAATAATTACAACTTACAGAATTGGATAATATGCCATATATCTGAAAAGTTTTACTGTCCAAATGTAAAAGAAACTTTTGCAACTCAATAGCAACAAGAAAAATAGCCTCATTTTAAAATAATCAGTTTTACACCTTGAACTATGTGACAACCTAGATCTCATGTTAAATGTTTTTCTCCATGGGTAGCAGTCTGTCTTATGGTGTATTTGGCTGGGCAATACTTTGTAGTTATTTGATCAAACACTAACCCAGGTGGTGTTGTAAATTTTTTAATAGACATCATTAAAGGTATAAGTTATCAGTTGACTCTATGTTAGGTAGATTATCATTGCTAACCTGCTTGGCCCTGATTCCATCAGAGCAGAATTGGAGAAGGTAAAACTCCATGGTGATTATGCCATTTCAGCTCTTTCTGAGACTTCCAGCCTGTACTTACTGATGGCTGGCCCTGAGGATATTGGATGTTTTCAGCCATTCCCCCAAAATTGTCATCCCCTACATCTCACAGGAAAGTGGTGTGTCCATCTGCAGCTTTTCAAACCTAAATATCAGACAGAAAGAGACTCCCCAAAATCAAATAATATTTATTTGAAAATGAGCATTGCAATGGGAATATGCGTGGGCACATTTAAGTAGGTAAATGAAGACAAGTGTTTTAAAAGATAACTGAGGAGGCTTCCATGAGCTATTTTGAGACAATTATTGTAGTTCTTGTTATCAGGGATGTGTGCATGAGAAATCTCTATTCATGACCTTCTCCAGCTTCACCTGTAAAGATTATAACACAAGTGGCTCCATTTTGATTCTGACGACTTTCACACCCTCTTCCTCACACCACTAGCAAAGAACATTACTCTGTGAAAGTTTATCAGAACAGGATTAGAAACACATCCATATCCTGTGTTAACCAAACAAGCTTGTCCCCTTCAGTTCCCACTGGCACCTTGTATTTACAGATGAGTCTCCATGCAACACAGTGAAGGGTCCTGAGTGACGAGGAGTGAAGAAAGTCCCACCAGCCTCTCCTGCGTGACTGCAGCAGCCACAGCCTGAGACCCACCTGAGCTCCAGGGAAAGGGCTTGAGGCCTGGAATTTTAACCACAGGGAAAATATCTTCCTTTTCCAGAAAGCAGGAAAAGCAAATGGAAAAATGAGAACAACTAAAAAAGACAGTACATGACTTAGGAAAAGAAGCTCCAGATCAGTATCGGTGCTGATTTGCATACTTCAGTGTCAGGAGAAGGGTCCATTGAGAAACCTGTGAGGTTCTACATGACACTGACCCTGGCCCACCTTCCCTTTTTGCTGTAATCAGAATCCCTAAAGACTGTTCCTGTTGGGATTCACTCAGGGTGGTGGCAGAAATATTAAAGGGACATATTAGGGAAAGTTATAGGGAATAGTCACAAACCTTTTGGAAGGCTGAAAGGTTACATAGCTTGTAATAATTGAACAGGCTGAAGGCGGCCGGTTCCAACCTTAGGGCATTAGGCATAGGGTAAATACTAGGGTTGATGAACCTCTCGGGGGAGGTCGACAAAGGATACTGCCCCCTAATGGTATTTACTTTAGACCGCAGTCCCTGAGCTTTACTCCTTCATAGAATTACTCTCTTAACCATGTTAATTATCCACAAGTGTGTTGACTCAGAGCTTCTGTTGTGAATTCTATACTAAATAAACGCCTGGAGCGCGAGCTGCTCAGGGCCGCTGCTGCCATTCTTTACAGGCCTCTCCTTGGAGTCAGTCAGCGGCCTCGGACCCTCAGCTGAACTGGCAAAGCGGAATACCCGTGTCAGTGTACGTTTTATTCACCCACCGCCGAACCAGGGGTCTGCAGGAACAGCCGCCCGCAGCTAGCGCCCTCTTGTGAGGAGCCATACTCAGTTCTAGTCAGGAATCTTCCTCAGGTTCCTGTCCTGAGTCTGACCGGAGAAGACTCACCAGGAAGCCTGAGCTTCCTCAGGACTCTGATCGTGGCGACCATGGCTGGGAACTTCTCATCTTCTCGGTAAGGATCGTCTGCATTTTGTACATAGGAGAATAGGTTCTCATATTAAAACAATCATTTAAAAAATATGTAGAGATGACATTAGTAATCAGATAATTCTGAACTCAGAGAGGTTCACTAGAGGAACTGTAAAAAGACGACGTGCCACATCCTGACAGGAAATCAGCCTCCGTGTGCACCGGCTTCCGGGTTGACTCTGATCAGTGGGTCCCGAGCGCCCCCTGCCGCTGATTTTCCCCCCGCGTCCCTGCAGGGAGGTTTGTGTCTGGGCTCACACTGACTTCCCCTCACTGTGTCTCTCGCACAGTAATACACAGCCGTGTCCTCAGCTCTCAGGCTGTCCATTTGAAGATACAGTGTGTTCTTGGCGTTCTCTCTGGAGATGGTGAATCTGCCCTTCACGGAGTCTGCATAGTATGTGCTACCACCACCACTATTAATAGCTGAGACCCACTCCAGCCCCTTCCCTGGTGCCTGGCGAACCCAGTACATCCAGTAGCTACTGAAGGTGAATCCAGAGGCTGCACAGGAGAGTCTCAGGGACCCCCCAGGCTTTGCCAAGCCGCCCCCAGACTCCACCAGCTGCACCTCACCCTGGACACCTGCAAACAAAAAGACACCAAGGTCAGAAACTGCCACAAATATCCACTGTTCCTCTCACTCATGTCCACTCACACTCAATATCTCTATTTCCTCATGAATCACCTTTTAAAATAGCAACAAGGAAAACCCAGGTCAGGCCAAACTCCATGATGAGTCTTCTGTGTTCAGTGCTGATCACAAATGAAAACACCTGGGAATCCCAGGGCTGGGCTCCTCTCCTAGAGCTGCAGAGTCAGAGCTGGGCTGGTTTTCATCAGGAGAGGGAGGGACCTATTTGCATGTCTCCTACTATATAGCAAGCTCTGGGTTGGGACGCCTGAGGAGAGGGCAGGGCCCAGGGCAGATGAGAGTGTCCCTGGGGATTTGATGACAATGATTGCGTTTGGGAAAATGCTGTCTTACTGTGAAATTGTTCTGTTGATTAACATTTAATAACTATCACATTTTTAATTATGTTTACCTGTGTGTATAAATTATGGTGTTTAGGAGTCGATGGTTTCTTCATTTATAGATGTAAAAGTGAACCCACACATGGAGGGTCTCTGTATGTGTCTGAGGGCTTATATCTGGCATGAGTGAGTGCTAGAATCTGGGCCTGTGCTCCTCATAGCAGACCTCCATTGCTCTTTTAACTACCTCTGGGACAGAGCTAAACGTGCCTAGTGTGGTTTGTAAAATCCACTTCCTGTCACGAAAACCTGTCTTATTTTGCTGCATTTACCTAAAAATATGGAGACAAGGTTCAGACATATAAATATTTAGGTATACCTGACATTTAACATATTTATTTGTTCCTTGCTATATTTCTTTTTTTGTCGAAAATGTCAGTTGTTTACTTGTAATAAATTTTATAAGTTTTAATTGACAGAAAACAAAATTCAAATATTTAACCTGTACAATAGAAAGCATTGAAAAAAACCCCTATTTTCAAGAAAGTGACAAGTCAACTCCCCTCAACATTCCTCTTGTTCTCTTACTTTTTTTGTTTTTCCTCCTTCCCTTATTCTACCATTTCTTTATAAAACTACTGATGTTTTCATATTTCTTTAGACCAGCATTTATTTTCTAGAATTTATAAGAATGAAATAATATAGTATGTACTCTTATCTATTTGGTTTATTTTTCTCAGTAGAAATACTGAGAATTAAACCTTTTTATTGTGTGTGTTTATTTCTTATAAATATTGGGTAGCATTTCAGCAAACAGATGTAGCATAATTTGTTTTTCTATTAAGCTGCTAATTGATACTTGAATTTTTTATTACTTTAGGTCTTATTAATAATTCTGCTACTCAGCTTCATAATGTACACAAATTATTAATTATACATAACATATAAATATGTTTCCCTTTACAAATACAATAACAGATTAAACAAGAGAATGATTAGTTTGGCAAATTTTCTTTAATATTTCAGATCATTGAAGTTATGAGATAAAAAAAGAAACCTGTAAACCAAAGAGTATCATTGACTAATCTCAATAGATTTAGGAAGTTCATTTTTCGAAGATTAAGGACATGCCAGCGACACAGCCTCAGGGAGTCCTGAGGATATGTGCCCCAGATTGTGAGGCACAGCTTGGTTATATACAGTTTAGGGGGACATGAGACATTAATCAATATATGTAAGAAGTACATTGGTTTGGTTCAGAAAGGCAGGACAACTTGAAGTGTGGAGAGAGCTTACAGATCATAGTTAGATGTGAGAAAAATGGTTGCATTCTTTTGAGTTTTTGATTAGCCTTTAACCAAATGCACAATTTGCCGGAATAGTCACATAGGCCTGCTATTCATGCAGAGAAACAATAGAGCAAAGGTAACAATCAGAGTTGCATTTGACTGACATGAGCAGAGAAATTATTCTGCCTGTTGTTGGTTCACAAGGGTTTTCCTTGTGAAATTCTGAAGGAGGCATGCAGCTTTTTAAAACCTTAGTAGCTGTCATTTGAGAGAAGGAACGGAGGCATGTTTGCCCAGCTGTTTCCAGGGGCACTTTGCCCTTGGGCTTGTGATTTTGGGTCCCAAAATTTATTTTCCTTTCACGCACATGGAAATCTTGGGGGAAATGAGTTCTTGTAGAGAGAACCAAGCAGGAAAGCAGCTGTTAACCTTTTTGTGCACCTCCCTCTGGGGTTGACTGTGATCAGTGGGTCCTGAGCATGCCCTGCAGCTGATTTCCCCCATGTGTCCCTGGAGGTTTGAATCTGGGCTCACACCGGCTTTTCCTCAGGTGCTTCTCTTGCACAGTAATGTAGTCATGTGTTCTTGGTTTGCAGATTGCCCATTTACTGATACAGCATCTTCTTTACATTGTCTCTGGAGATGATAAATCTAAGACAAATAAATATTCTGTCAGACCAATAGATCTTGAAAAAAACTATTTCCAGCACATTATTTCTTCAGTAGACATGTTAGCAGAGTTTCCAGGTGAGTAGCCATATGAAATACATCCAATACCTGAATCTATAAAAAAAAATACAGATTGTCAAAAATGGAAAAACTAGGTTGAAATTCAGTTTTTACATTTTTATTTTCTTTATAATGTGTGTAAAGCAATTATAAAAATGCCAGTATTACATTTTTATAGCATATGTAAGTAGAAACTGAGAAAAAAATGAGAAAATAATACAGATCAGAGCATAACATGCAACCTATCAAGACTGAATTATAAATTAAAAAATGAGCAGACTAATAAGTAAAGAGATTGAATCAACTGTCACAAAGCTCCCAAAAAAGGAAAGACCAAGATTAGATGGCTTCATTTGAGAATTTTATTACATATTTAAAAGTTGTCATCAATTTCTTTGAAGCTTGTATGAGACATTAAAGAGCAAGTAGCAGTACTGACCCCATTTTATGCAACTAGCATTACCACGATGCCAAGTTAGCGACATAAGTTATAAAAAATGAAAATTAGAAGCCAAGGATATAATAAACAAAGATGTGAAAATACTGAAAAAAAAGTTAGTAAACCAATTTTGACAGTGTATGATAAGCAATAAAACTGGGCTTAATACCTAAGTAATGGGTTGATAGGTGTATCCAACCACCATGGCACATATTTACCTATGGAACAAACCTGCACATACTGCGCATGTACCCCAGAACTTAAAATTAAAATTTAACAAGGAAGAAAAACATAATGAAGTTAGATTTATTTCTGGATGTGATTCAACAAGTACAAATCAGCCAATGTGCACTTGCTGAATCACCTCCAGAAATAAATACACCACATTGAGAAAATGTAAAATAAAATGGTGTGGTCATATCAATAGTTACACAAAAGCATCTAAGATAATTCAAGCCTTTTATGATAAAATCTCTCAGGTATGAAAAGAGCACACCTCAACATAATAAAAGTCCTGTATGAAAGCCCACTGATCACAACATATGCAAAGGCAAAAAAAAAAAAAAAGATAAGACATATATAAGGTCAGAGAATAGAAAAGTATGCCCACTCTCAAAATTTCTATTCCTCGTAGAACTTCTAGTCAAAACTGGAGTAATTAAGCAATAGAAGAACATAAAATTCATTTAATTAAGAAACAAAATTATTTCCGCAAATAGCATGATTTTTTGTTTGAAAGGATAATTTCTTACCTTCATTATCTTTTTAATGATTTTGCATATGCAGAACCTTAAGGGCTCCAACAAAGACATTAGAATTATAAATAAGTAAATTTGGATGATACATAAACAGCATACAAAAATAAATTGCATTTTTTTACATTAACCACAAGTCATCTAACAGGAAATTTAATAAAGCAAGCTAATTCTCAATAGTAATAAAAATAATAACATACATGTGAACAAATTTAAGCACAGGGTTAAGATATTTTTATCCTGAAAATAAGAAAATGCTGAAGAACAAAATTAAAGAGCACATAAATGGAAAGGAACCTATGTTAATGAATAAGAACAATTAATAGTGTTAAAATGTCAATAGAACCAAAGTAATCTACAGATTCAAAGCAATTTGTATCAAAATCCCAATGGCATGCTTTACAAATACAGAGGAAACATTCTAAAATTTATATGGAATCACAAAGACCCCAGCTAGCCTAAGCAATCCTGACTAAGAACATGGTGGAAGTATCATACTTTGTTCATATTCTAGTACAAATGTATAATAATCAGATAAGTAATGATATGGTTTGGCTGTGGCCCATCTGAATCTCATCTTGAATTTCCAGGTGTTGTGGTAGGTAAATGAATCACTGGGGCAAGTCTATCTCGTGCTATTCTTGTGATAGTAAATAAGTCTCAGGAGAGCTTATGGTTTAAAAAGAAGAGTTCCGCTGGACAAGTTCTCTCTGTTTGCCTGCTGCCATCCATGTAAGATGTGACTTGCTCCTCCTTGCCTTCCACCCTGATTGTGGGGCTTCCCTAGCCACGTGGAACTGTAAGTCCAAATGAGCCTCTTTGTTTTGTACCTTGCCCAGTCTAGGGTATGTCTTTATCAGCAGTGTGAAAACAGACTAATACAAGTATTTCACTGAAAAAAAGGACAAATACTTCAATCAATGGAACACAATACAGAACTTAAATTCAAAAATAGATGCTCAACTATTCCTCAATAAGCAAGCAAAATATGCAAAGGAGAAAAGGTGATCTATTCATTTTTTTTGAAAAACTGGATATTCATATGCAGTGGAATGAAACAGTCCCTATCATACATCATATACAAAACTGCACATGTATTAAAGGCAAACATAAGACCAGAAATCATGATACTTACAGAAAAAAAGTAAGAACAATATCTTTGATATTTGTCTTGGATACAATTTTTCAGATAAAACACTGACAATTCAGGTAATAAAATCAAGAATAAATCAGTGGGATATCATCCAGCTATAATCCTTCTGCACAACAAAGAAAATAAGTACCAAAATGAGAGGGTTCAGTATGATGTGGGAAACATATTGACAAACAACATATCTGATAAGGGTTAACATACAAACTATGTAGAAGAATCTCATTATTCAGTAACAGAGAGCTAACACATACATACACACATACATATAAACATACATAACTTGATTAAACACGGGAAAGAACCTGAACATACATTTTAAAATTAACATACAAATGATGAAAATGTATATAAAAATGTTCTCAACATCACTAATTAATAAAATGCAAGTCCAAGTCACAATGAGATATCTCATCATACCTGTTAGAATGACTATTATGAAAACCACAAATGATAACACATTTTAGTG